AATGAGAAGAAACCTTGGTAAAATTTTACTCTTATAACTTTGTTATGAGAAGATGTGGATAAGTTATTTGAATAAATAACTCACCCCTACACACAAATATTCTGACATCAGATGGGAAATCTCACGAGACCTCTCAAGATCAAACGTGAGTTCGGAGTAAATAAACATGGCCGACAAGGAAGAAGCAATGGTGAAAGTTAGTGGATTATTTTTAACTGAGAAAAAACAGAAAGACTTTTCCAGAAAAGTTGTTTTTTCTTCTGTATTTGGATTACCCTTTGTGTTTCCATCATCTGACTTTTTGATTGGCTCCACGCCACATTCAACAGGCTGTGTGCTTGTTCGTCCTTGGGGAACACCACACATGCTGGGATATCAGGATGAGACAACATGTTGAATATCCCAGATTTGAGAGAGTGGTTTCGATGTACTTCCGAGACGACTAGATCACTCTTACCACACCATACACAGCAGGCATATCTCATACGGTTATCTTTAGAGCCATAACGATAATCGGAGCGATTGTCAGAAGGCACAAATTGGTAAAAAAAAACTTTGCATCATTATCTTGCCATGCAAACAGGGCGTTAGATAAAACTCACCCACTGAGTGATTGAAAACTAAAAGTTAATAAGGCAATTTTTTTACCAGGGATATACTGACTACTAAAACATGTTTCAACAAATTAGTTGACAATTTTGTTTAAGATAAATTTTCACTTTTCGAAAAAAAATTATACATATATACTGTATATACACACACACACACACACACTCACAGAGTTGCACATAAGCGATGCGCAGGTGCGTATGCGCAATCAAAAAAGAAAAAGCGCACCAGGTGGAATGTCATAAAGCTCCCTTGCGTACCTAAGGTTGTACCTGAGAACAGCTAGCAGGGTCACAAATGTGACCTGATTTCTTAAAAACAAACAAAACAAAAAAAAAAATCCAGTTTCACTGGATCGTCATTCTGTCAGAGGAGGGCAGCGGGACCCTAAGGATTAAACGGACACTGCTTTCAACGAATCAGACGAACTCCAGAGCTGTTTTATCCAATCAAAGCAGAGTAGGGTGGGACTTTCAGTCCGAGCTGTTTTCAGCAGAGACAGTGGCTGCAGCAGTCCGTCCTGACATCTCCTCCTGCACTTTGCTCCTGAACTACCAGAGACTTTGGTCTATAAAACCTAACTTTATATTAAATATATGTTCAGAGTGTTGTTATCAAACAGATCTGTCCAACTTTGCGTCAGTGACTAAACTCTCCTCCTGAGAGACGGGAACTAAATAATCTTTTTGAATAAAATAGTATTTAAAAAAATAAACCAGCTTAACAAATAAAACATTTGTTCTGTGCAAAAGACAGATAGTTGCTCCTTGGTCTGGAGAGTGTGGAAAGCTGGTTTAAACAAGACCAAAGATCTAGAAGGCTAAACTAAAGGAGGTGTACATCTCAGAGTCATGTGTAATCTAACAGACATTTAAACATTGAATGTTCAGTTTGAGATGACATATGACCATGGGTCAGCCCAATGGCCACTTCGGTAGTTCACAAAATGTATGCAAGTAAAAAACAAAACAAAATAAAAAACTCAGATTTAGCATGATGTCCCGAGACATTGCCAGCTGTTAGAAGGCATCATAAAACAGAACAGGACAATAATAAATGCCCTGACACCCCTCTAGATAAATGTGTTAAATGAGGGAAGGAAAATCTGAGTACCAAGCAACAACCCCAGGTTCTCCCCTGAGAACCAGACCAAGTTTTATGTGCAACCCTGTATATATAGGTCCCTTCTGACTTCACAGCAGTATTTAAATATGATGCCTCATTAATTACAAACCACAAAATCATAAACTAATAGCATAATATTACACTCCTGCTTTTTTATTTTCTAAGTTTAATGACAAAATTGTTGGCTGTGTCAAAGAGTTCGACCATATCTTTTATGACTAATAATCCACACAAACAAAAAAAATTGTTAGGACATGTGAAGCAGCAGAGCCCAATCATTACGGTCATTTCTGATTCTGTTTTCATGTCCACACTCACCACATGTGCTGGGACTTGCTCCATCTTAGCAGCAGGGGTACCAGGTCTGGGGTAGAACTGGTTGATGAAAAGACTTGGAAATTGATAGTGTTTCACCAGCTTTACTGTCTCTTGGAAGTCATCCTCAGTTTCACCAGGAAAACCACAGATTACATCTGTTGCAATTGTTACACCAGGTACTCTACAAGAGAAAAAGGAGAACATTTACTTTAGTTGTTAAAGTTTGGGTTATTTCTTGCTTGCAAAAATTATACAATTATTTTTAATGTCATAAGCAAGTTGTTTCATCTGGAGAAACATTTCCATTTTGTTTCTCAAATGATGAGACAGGTAAGATCTGATTTTAATAATAATAGTCGGTTTTGCACCAGTTATTTACAACTTGTTCTATTATTACCACTGGCTCATTGTACCTACTGCTGGATAAATACACAGTAATATTTTCCCACTTTGTTTAATTTTAGTGAACATATCTAAAAATGTACACATTCAGTAGCAATTAGGAAAACAACCAGACAAATACAATTCAACAATAATCAGAGTAATCTAACATTTACTGACCTATGACCACCACTCAAATACTTATTTCTGAACATTGTAATTACAAACATTTTCCAACTGTACACATTCAAAAATCTGCATTACAGGAGGGTATTTTCCCCCCCACTGGAATCATTCAGCTAATCAAATCTTGATTAGCAGCCTCCTGTGCAAATCACTGGGTATTGATTAAAGACAATGGCTCAAGTATTGGATTAATTGTAGCCAGTAGGACAGTATTGGAGAGAAGAAATAGATTTCTACCATCTACATTATATGCGTTGGCAGTTATGGGATGGTTCATAAAAGAGCATCAAAGCCTGGTCATCACTATCCATCTGAAAACAAAGGACCTCTGGAAGACATACTTGACCTTCAGTGCAAAACAGACTATTTTGAAATTGCTGCCTTGAGCTTTCAGTGATTAAGCTTGATCAAAAAAAAAAACTAATCACATCTCAGAACTGTCCATTTCCATAAAATGGTAATTTTGTAATTTGAGGCTCATGTAAAAGACAAAATAAAATAATGTAACAAGCAGCAGGGGAATAAAATGATCTTTGGCAGGCTTGTTGTTCTTGAGGTTACAATTATTTGTTACCCTTTCCTTCCTTAACTCCGACCAGAAACAGTATTCTAAACTGAAATAATTGCAAATCATTATCAATTCAAGTAAAACAAGTCACTGACTGTGAAATTTGTATCAAACCTTGAGATCCAGTGGAACAGGAGAAAAAAAAGGAGAAATGTAACTGCTTTCATAGAAAACATTCTACTGTTCAGCCAGAATGTTTTCAACAACAAAGCTTCCCTAGTGTTTTAGATTTTGGTCAGTTTGTCCTTTCATTTATTTGTTTTTGTCCCTCATCATTATTCGTACCAGTAAAAAACAATAATAATCCAAACTGCAAGAAAAATAAAAACTGCCTTGAGTAAAAATAAAAAAATAATCTGTCATCTCCTGCTGAAAAATCAATAAAAGCTCATACAGATTAAGAAACACAACAATCACAAGCATTATCTAAATAGACCTCAAACAAATAAATACATCAACAAAGACATCAAGCAAAAAAATAAATAAAGTGGGAAGGACATTTTCTCAACGATTGACAACATGATGCATTTTTAATTGTATTAACTTCCTGCATCTGCAACCCTGAGATAACCTCTGACCTATTGATGAGTTGCAATTGGCTCTCGGTCATTAATATTAACCAGTAGCTTGAAGGCACAGGCATCCTTGACCTTTCAGATAAAACTGACAACTAGTAAAATGGTCAAACTGATTAAATAATAAGAAGAAAATACTTAATTGACAAAAAGATAAACAAATTAACTTTTGTAAATGAAACTCCAGTTTTAAACCCTTTATATAACCCTTCTCTATTTGGAACAAAATTGAGAGTCAAAACATTTTATCTTAGTAAACAAACAATTGATTATTTGCTGCATGCTCAGTCTTGTCTGTTATCAAGTAGTCTGTTTTGAAATTGTGCACAACAGGAAGTTTTTTTTTGTTTGTTTTTAAACTGAAGAAGTGTTAATGTGATTCAAAATTAGGGTCCAAAATATGAAGCTTGTTCACCAGGTTTACTGAGAAACACATTTTACTAGTTTTGAGCAACAAATTAGAACCATTAAGTAAAATATCACCATCTCCAGCACCATAACTGTTGCTACTAAGTTCTTGCCTGTAATGTAACTTCTGGCTGTTTCAATGTTGGATGTGGGATGGAAAGCAAATTCAAAGCCTTATGGACAAACTGTTTCTCTTCATCTCTTGTGCTATGGCTCTTTTGTGGTAGTAGTGTTATGGAGGTATAGCAAACAAGATTTACTTATTTTATTATAGCAGGAATACTTCTAATATGACATTTTGTTGAAAATAGGGATGTACATTTCAGACCAGGGCTTCAAAATAACTAAAGAAACTCAAACACAGAGGAAAGAAGCAGGAGAGAACAGTGTAAATTGACTTTTATGGATTTTTCTAAGGTGCAGGCTGCGAAGGTTAAGAAAAAAGAAGGGGAAGAAAAAAAACAACGAAAACCGTGCACACGCTGTCATTTTGACACCTCTGCCTCTCCCAGATCTAAGGGTGATAGAGGTGTGATGTGTGATACTAATGAATAAGAACCACAGTGATACTCTCCTTGTTAAAAATGAAAGAAGAGAAATGTATCTTGTTATTGTTCACCTCTGGAAAACCAAATGTAAGAAACAGAGATAGAGCCAGGAATGAACAAGAAAAAAAAATGTAGGGATTACATTTCAGCTCAGCTTGCTTTCAATTAAACTGATGCAGACACTGGCTAATCTCACAAACCTATAACTACCCATAAACCCCGAAAGAACAACACAGGAGTTTTGACTATATTGAAAAGAGAGAAAAAAACCCCACTAAAACAACACCCTTTTAGGTACAGTGAGGCACAGGAAAAGTGTTGACTGTTTACTGTTTAGTACTGATTAGAATAAGATATCTTCTGCCCCATAACACACGAATGAAAGATAGAGGCCATGTTGTTCACAGGCGGACAAACCAGTTAATCTGTGGCAGAATTAAAACAGAAAACAAGCACATTTTTCATAAATTTGGCAAAACACCACTGAATAAACCTGACTTTATATTTAACCGTTTACATTTCTAGGTGCAATAAGCATAAGGAGCATAAGTGTCCTGTTTGAAAACATTAAGACTTTCTTTTCAGGTCAATACCCAAATTCTTTTTGTGGTCCACATTTTCAAGTAGTGGAGTCCAATCCTGGTCCTTGAGGGTCACTATCCTGCATGTTTTAGATGTTTCCTTGCTTCAAAACGTCAGAGTTGAAAGAAAGGGTGATTAAAAGGCTTCTGTACAACTTGAGGACATGTTGAGGAGGTAATACAGCCACTGAACCTGGTGTGTGAGTAGGGAAACAGCTAGTAAAAATAAGCCCTTCAGGACGAGCACTGATGGTGCTGCTTTATGGTGCGTTCACACCGAACGCGATTTCAACTTCAAAATCGCAGCCAACGCTGAAGTTTGAAGCTTGTGCACTTTGAGGTCAGACGCAGGACAGCTGTTGAAGCGCTGCACGGCAACAGCCTCCCCGCCCCTCCCTCCTCTGTCGGGCTCTGTTTAATGTCGGACGAGGAAGTGGCTTTGCTTTATTTACAGAGAGCAAGAGCATGTCACGTTCATCAGATAATTAATTCATAATTAATTCACCAGATAATTCAGAGAAGAGGCTCACAGCTCGCTTTCAGGACTATTTTTCCAGTCTGATGAGTCGCTGTCACGCATTGCTGCAGATCAGGACACGACTACCAGCACTCATTTCAGCTAAAGAGCAGGAGCTCCGTCTGTTTCAGGTTAGTGGACATCATTCAGTAAACTGTCCCGTCGGGAAATATGTCGCTACGCCACACAGTGGAGTCTCTCTGATTGGATGATGCTGCGCGTCGAGCTGCAAAAGTTCAGATTTTCTAACTTCAGCGATTTGCGCCTCAGCGTGTCGAACGCTCAGATCGTTCAAATCGTTCAAGTCGCGTTGCTCTAATCGCGCTTGAGGCACCGCAGCCCTTCCCGACGTTGCTTGAAGCGCGTCCACCATAGACTTTGAAACCTGCTGCTCCTGACGCTGAAATCGCGTTCGGTGTGAACGCACCATTAGAGTTTATGCCTCTTTGTGTTGTTTCTATCACTGGAGATTTTCTGGAAACGTTTGACATCAGTCTACCAAGAGATATCCTTTATTTTGTGCGTGATGATGATGCTGGAAAGCATTTTTCAGTATCAAGTAGCAGGGTTCCACAGAGCTAAGACTAGATGGCTGAAGGCCATGGCACAGGAATCACAGTACTTTTACAATCACCAATGCGACTTCTGATGCCCTCATGCTTTATGTATGGAGTTGATATGATCCTTATTGAGACCTCTTCAATTAGGAGAAAAATGTTTCCTTCACAATTTAAAAGTTGATCTGGAAAACTTTTATTGACTTGAAAGACTGTTTTCTTTGATGAAACAAGTGAAAGTGGAAACTGTGCTGGAAAAAAAAAATGCCCCATGAGGGTAACAAAGCCACAAAGATCCCCTGTGGTGATCTAAGATCCTGGATTAGTTTTGAACTCATCACCCATTTTAGAGAGAAAAAACCCTAATCACTAATACAGAAATACCTCTGAGTGAAAGTCACTGCTGAAGTCATAAAATCAAAAGTTCTAACGGGGTAAGAAAATGGGCTTGTGTTTGTGTGCCTTCTCTGTAATCTTTCTTCTTGCTTTATTGAGGCAAAGAAAGAACATCCCTGAAAACCGCAGCCTCCTTTAGCCACAGTACAATATCAGGCTAAGCAAGCTGTAGATGTGTTCATAAAACTTTAGATATGCATACAGTCAGTACTCTGCTTTCCTCAATGCACTTAAACATGCTTCATAAAATGCACCGTTATTCGGCTCACTGTCAAGTCTTTGTTTACCGAAGTCCTTTTACATGTGTGAGATTTTTATAAACACACGGCCAGCTTTTAAACTCATATATTCAAAATAAACGTATGCAAGCATCTTCACAAAACAGATGCCTGGGAGATGTACCCGAGATAAGACGAAAGAGAAAACACTTGGAGAGAAACCCAGAAAATGAACACAAGGGAAAA